GAGAGACTCGATTTCTATGATGTGTCTAACATACCCGATATGCAAGCCCTAGCCGATGTAATGATAATGCTTTGCGTCTGTCCCACCAAAATTAAAGATTTGCGTATATCTAATAGAGGTGTAACTGGATACGCAAAAAACTGAGGCCAATAGGATAATCTTCAGATATTTAGATTGTTAAAAAGAGATGAAGAGCAGGCTAAACTTCTTCTTACTTGGATTCAGGATACAATTTCTTCTGGACAGTTGAGGGATCCAGAAGTACTAAGAGTTAAATGGTTTAATACATTTCTGAAAAAAATAGATTTCTTTCTGAAATTGGTAAACTACTTCTTTCTAGCTATTTGCGCAAATTAGGGGCAGTATTTGCAGTCGTATCGAATGGTGCGAAGAATTTATCAGAAGCTATGTGCATTGCCAGTTAAGCCTTTTGACATTCGCCAGACAACCATGCTTCTCCAACGCAAAACTATATTATAGTCAATTTTCGAAAAAGAGGACAGCCTTATGATCAGGCAACGATATTCGAACTCTTCAATGAAAACTAATCACATAAATGGGTTAGACAACATTTATTAAATTTTATTTTTTCATTCGCCTAAGATCTAGCATATATGAAATAGTAAACATGATTAAGCATTAAAGAATTCAGAAGTGCTTAGTCTAAAGGAAAGATTAGGAGAAAAATGCATATAATAAAAATAAGGCTAATTAGTTATCTGATAAATGAGAGTTCAGAGCGATGATAGAGGTTTATTTATTCCAATCGAAAGGTATTCTAACTATATAAATAATACAATGCATACAGATAATTTACTTGATCTTCTTTCGCTAAAAATAATATCATTTATTCTAAAATATCTTCCAGAACAGGAACTAAAAAATTCTCGCAGTATAAATAATATATAGGAAAGAAAGGCAAATCTTGAATGATACAAAAGAATGGAATTTTTATTTGGAAGAATAGTTCAAGACAATTATACAGTAAAGGAATATTATTCAAAACTGAAAGAGTGTAATTTAAGCAAAAACTATTCAGAATGGCTTCTTAAAAATCTATTCCTCAGAGGATTATCATCTGAGAATGCATTTAAAGTTCTTTTGGATAGGCTAGAAGTACTTGCGTTAGATGAGATAGTGGAAAGGCTTAGTTCAGAGTAGTGATCGCATAATTTCCCAAAGATGCTTTGCTATTTTTTCGTTTAAAGATACAACATATAATACAGATTATATATGACGCATACAGGCATTTTTAATATACAGGAACTACTAGAGCAGATTTTATATTTCTTAGCGATAGATAAATCCCTCTATCCCACTCTATTTATTTATCGATTGTGATACAAATGTGATGCACCTATTCTGTAGAAGCGTATCAAATTGAGAGGAAAAGACTTATATCCTGAACAATCTCTTCCAAATGATTATAATTACTGTGCAAAGAATTGCTTTCAATTAAATAAATTCATAAGGATAGAACGTGCAAAGGATCTCTCTCAATTGAAAAAATTTATAAAGCTAATATATAGAAAGCAAACGTCAGTTTATTGCTCAAATGTAACTCATTTTAGAATATCATACTACCATTCACTTTCAGATAAAAAAATCATAAGCATTGTACATTCATGCCTAAATATAACCCACTTGAGTTTCATAAATAGCATAGGATTTAGTAATAGAGCATTAGAACTGATAACAGGTTCATACCTAAATCTGAAGTATCTCAATCTGTGCGATGATTGGTCAGGTAACTTTAGGAACTTTCGTACTCAAGAAGTATATAATCTAGATCTATGAAAAATCGCTCAGTCATGCCATAAATTAGAATATCTAAACATTTCATACTGCACAGAGTTTCTTGAATTATCAATTTGTAATATTATTCGTTTCTGTCCAAAGCTCTAACATCTTAGTCTTAGATTTTGTCAAATTGCTGATATAACTATCAAAGAAATTGCTGGTTCATATCTTAATTTAAAGTACCTCAATTTGGAACGGTGTAGTAATATTAGCAAAGAAGCCATAGATCAGTTTATTTTTCTTAATCCAAATATCCATGTTGAGAATTTCGTGCCAATTCAGGTACCTTTCCTAAATAATAGAATCTTAGATGTGATTCATGAACTCAGGAATACAATATGATGCATCAAGAGATGTTGCATCCTTAGATAATTATATTAATGACGAATTATCAAGAAGATTGAGTAAACGCTATATTCTAGCTAGACCATCGCTCTGGAGTGGTGCTCAGTTATTATATCAACTTAGAGTCCTTTAAGACTAGATCATATGAAGCATTCCAGCTCGAAAGAATTTGCTGAGCCTCAATACATGTACTCATGTACGACAAAAATAGGCGATCACTAGACAGGGTTTATGTAACATTAACCTTGTATATACATTTAAAAAGAAAACATATTAACTTTTATTCTTTATTTTTTCTGAACAAACATGAGAAAGAAGGTCTACACGCAATATAGGACCTACTGTAAAAGTAAATAATGCTGATAAAAGCATATGTTATAAAAGGCTGAGAACTTTGTAATTTTAAGATCGCTAAGCGTAAGACTAACTATGTGTTTCTCTAGTAGATCTACATGTGAAAAGGTATGAGGATTCCATTTGCATGTGTCTTCATAGAATTCTTGGAATCATACGACAATGCTAATCACCTATATTTATCCCTATCTTTTCCCAGCAAGATATAAAACATTTAAAGGTATGTGGAAGTTCAGCTAACTTTTCGCAAAAAATATTCCTGTAAAAAATAATGCAAATTAAGGTATATACAGTATATGTTCTTTAATGTGAGTGGACCAAGCAATTTTTTCACTATGGATTTTTGTATTTAGGAGTTGAAATGGACAATAACAACATTACTATCAATTGTCTTATTATTCTTATAGGAAAACTTATGAATATCCCTTGCATTAAAGTAATGCAGACAATTACAGTTGAAAAGTATGAATGTTATAGCTTTCTCGAGGCTATAATTCAAAGCAGATTAGGAGTTGATATCCCACTCAAAATATGTATAATTCATTTTGCTGAAGAGCCTAAAGCAGAGCCAGAATAATCTTCTGTATCATGTAGCACTATAGTCATAATTTTATGTATTGTAGGCCGAGTTCTAGTAACTTTTTTTTATTTCTTAAATAAAGCATATATTACGTCTTGTCGTAAAACTTGATAAATATCATATATAATGATGTAATATAATTGCCTGATAATTCTGTACTACATCTTAATTGCATATATATTAGGCAAAAGTATTATGAATCGATATAAAAAAAAATAAATCATTTCTCTCTGAACGCTGAAACCAAAAATACTTTTATATCCATAAACCAGCTTTGCCTGTAACTGCAGTCAAGTGCATATTTTTTTCGCAAGCACAAATACAAGCACTCATATATAAATGCTATATCTTTACAACCCTCTATACCTTCTTCTCCAAACTTAATAACAGAAGAAGTTTCTTCACAAACAATGTCAAATGTGATTAAGGATTTTAATACATAGGAGCTTATCAATTATCTGAAAAGGAAAGACTTAAAGCTCACTGAGATCTACTTTAAAATTTTACAAAAGGAAGAAATTGCTGATCTTAACTTTCTCAAGTTAACTGAAGAAAAACTTGGACATTATGGTATGAAAGGAGGGCCAACAAGACTTGTAGACTTCATCGAAGGTCTTAGCCAGAAGCTATAAAATTATTCCTCGCTTAAAACTCTCGATGACTTAAAGAAAATGTTACATAAAAATAAGGTGAATGGGAAAGATATAACAAATATCAAACAATTTACACCTGGTAAGTGATTATATTCTTAAGCAAACTGATGAGCTATTATGAATAATAACATATTTTTTCTTCCGCAGTTTTTGAAGAAATTAATGATGATGATAAGGCCTTTAATTATTGCATAAATGATATAATATTGAAACTTTCGAATGTAAAAACTATGACCGACTGACACTAACGAGATGATACGCTATGAATTTATTTTGACAATATTATACACATTAATTGTCATAACCAAAAAACTTATGTCTCAAGACATATTTATAGTTTTACAAAAAGATATATCCGGTGAAAACGCAACAGGCTGAGTAGATTACACAATCAAAAGTCTGAAAGACCTCCTCTGCATTACTGAAGGGAAACCACAAAATATTAAGATTGGATATACGCAGGTAGGCCTACTATTTACATTTTCGCTTTCTAACATATTAGAGATATTAATGATGGTTTATTTCTTAGAATCTGACACAATTTGAAAGTACGTTCCAAATAAATAAGAAAAAATGAATTGCAGATCAAGCATTTGGAAATGACTATTTTGACTATATCTATGGTATTGTGACCATAGGTACGGAGTGGCATTTTATCATATATACTCTGGATGGCATCTTCTTCATAAGCGGTAGCAAGTATCAGATTAATCTTATGAAGTCCACAGTTAAAGATAATCTTAAATTACTACAAAGTAACGTAAAAAGGATAATTGGTATTATTGTTAGGTTGCTGAAGGATTGTGTTAGTATAGATAGTTCTCCAGCTAACAAGAGGACTAGGATCAAAAAGTTTATTAAAAAATAATATATATCACAGGGCAGTCTCAAACTTGTATTTATTTTTTCACATGTAATAATAAAAAATTTTTCTTAGTAAATTTTCATGACGGGAAGTGAGTTCCCCATCACGCAAATTTAAAAATAGCATATATATATACTGATGGACTTTTGAATATTTCATATCTTCTATAAGAATATTATCAATCATGTCATCTGAGCTTGAATTATTGAGACAGCGTATCACCGAACTTGAGGCTGAGAATGCGAAGTTGAGACAGATTATTGAGAAGAATACCAAATGTAAAGCTGAAAATACTGAACTCAAGTCTAAAGTCAGGAAGCTTGAAGCCAGACTTGTGATATTGGAACAGAGTCCCCCGATAGTGGATAGACAGCTACAGAATAACCCGAAGGGAAATAAGAAAATGTCATCAGAGGTATCAGCTATTGTTGTATCTGATTCGTCGCCTGTTCATGAAGTTCATAGTCAGTTAAAATTATTAGAACAGATTGAAGAGATACCAAAGGTATCAGATCAAGAGAAGACATCAGAGGATATGAAGATGAATACTTTCTTGGTTAAGGTCCATAAGAAAAGCATTAGCAATGATATTAGGAAACGTATCAAGTATCATCACAAAAAATATCTGATATTGCCTCTGGTATCTCTTCTCTTGAAAAGCTCGTGAGTACAAAAAATGGGCAGGGATTAATTCAAGAAATTTCTCATAACTTTTATGAATCCGCTACTCCTTCATCTATTCAGGAGAATGATTTCATATACGCATTGTCTCTTAACTCTTCAGAAATTTCATTTATCTCAGGTAAGGAAAATATCATTTGCTTATATCAAAAAGCTAGCAATACAGAAGGTCTCGCAATGAAAGCTAATCAAGAAGAGATATTAAGCTGGTATTTGTATGCTAAAGAATTTTTAATTATGGTTAAAGATATCATGGCCGTGATAGAATTGGTGAGAAAAAGGCAAAAGGGCAGATTTACGATTTTATTGTCCAACAATTTCCTGATACTAAGCGAGATAATTTATGTAAACAAACTCAGAGAGCTATAAAAATCTTAGATTTATTCAAAAAAATAGGGATAGATAAGGTCTGGTATATCAAAACTTATAGTGTAAATTCTATCTCAAAAATTACCAATACAGATCTCCAAAAGGTTATAGATCACTTTTCTAATAATTCCAATTCTTTTACTGATCCAAAAATTTCACTGACCTCAGGTTGTCCAAATCATGTGACTGAAATTTCTGAGACTGTGGGTTTCGGAAAAAATTTGCCTAAAATAAATGCTTTAACTACACTCAAACCAGCTGAGGTAAACGTATCAAATACACCTATTCCTTCATCTCATAACTCTAATTCTTCCAGTAAGGTAGGATCATTTAAGAAATCCAGACTTCCGATTTCTATCTTGCCTGAAGACCTCAAAGAGAAATGAAAAAATATCATTGGGTTAGTATTAGAGCATTTTCCTTCTCTATCTTTAAGCGATAGTAGTGAATGTGGTGAGCGATTTATTCTTAATAGTTCAACACTCTGTCTATTATGTAATGGAAAGCATAAAGAAAAAAGTATATAGAATGATATAAGAGTTGAATAGGATGTTGGTGAATATTACGGAAAACGAACTTATTCACTCAAATGCAGAGAAGCTCTTAATCCTGACATCCCAATAGTATTTGTAAAAGCATAGACGAAACTTCGTCATATGAACTGATTACCTGAAATGCGCAGTGCATTGTCAGAAAAATTCTTGCTGAAGAATAGGTTGTGTGATGTAAGATTGCCATATATATTCGTATTATTTTTTCAAATCACGTGGGTGGCTTAAATATCGTGTACAGTAAAGCGTCATCTATTCTTCTCTGTAGTAAACGTATGTGATTCCGCAGAATATTATATGCGCAGTAGTATATCACTAGCATCTGCAGTCATTATTTTTAGAGGATCTATTAATAACCCCGGTTAAGAGCAATATTTTTGTGTTGACATACTGATGAACTTTCCCCAAAGTTCTGGTATGTTCTATTTCACTCATTACGCAGTTCTGAATTACTGTAAACGGTTGACTAAAGTACCTGGGTATTTTACCAATTCGTGAAGTTGGAAGGGTACTATACTACAGGGAGTACTTTGGTCTAAGGGAGGGTACTACGCTATACCATATAAGGTCTACTATTTGAATTTAAATTAACCAATAAGAAGTTTAAATATTTGCA